GATTCGCCTGTCCCTACGGGGCGGCCGTGCGGTTCTCCTGGGACGAAGGCTTCGTGCTGCGCGGCGATGCCGAGAGCCGGTGCCTGGCCGACAGCACCTGGCACCCTCCCCTGCCCACCTGCCAGCCAGGTGGGTACCAGAGCCAGGCAGATGCCCCGCAGCTGGTTTGCACAGGCTGGGGGTGCTGCTGCTTTGAATCGCCAGCAACAGGTGGAATTTGCAGGGAGTTTTCTCCTCCATCTCCTCTCATTACACTATTTTTTTGGCATGCGTTTTTCTTTCAGTTCAGTGTCCTCAGCCCCCAGAAGAGGAGAACCTAGTGGTTTACCCTTCGAAATCCTGGTACAAGGTGAATGAAACTCTGTCCTTCTACTGCAGTCTTGATAACTCTCGAAGACTAAATACACTAACTACCTGCTCAGCCAACGGCACTTGGATACCGCCGCCCACGTGTGTAAGTACCACCATCTGGCCAGGCTTTGGCTGTATCTTGCCCCATTTATAGCCTGGAACAGCGCTGGTCTGACCTCAGGAAGGTGTTTGAGGTGTTTGCATGGTTGCAGTAGGGGTGGCCCGAACGAGGGGCTGCAGTCGGGGCGGGTGCTCAGCAGGTGGGTCCCTACGGCGGAGTCTCATGCTCTCTCTGTCTTTGTTTTGGTTCTTTTAAAGAAAAAGCATTATACATGCAAGGAGATTCTTCAAGTCGGGGAATTCTTCCAGTGTGGAGTTCCTCTGACAGAACTGAAAACTATACTGGAAGTCCAGAAACTGTACCTGGAGATCCAGAAGCTTTTGAAAGGAGGATAAAAACCACAGTGCACGGCTGGCTGTCATCACTGGGATCGTAAGAACCGTCCTTTTCACATGTCGGATAATCCTGCCGACTGAGGATTTTTTGGGACTTTGTAATTCGTGGTAGTACTTCAGTAGCCAGAACAAAATCTACCAATCAGTTGAGGAACAGCTTTGGTCATATGGGGAGTCAGAAAGTGACTTGTGCCTGGTTGGGTCAGAGCTCGCTGGGTTCGGCTGGTACATCACTTTGTGCGTTTTAAAGCTTTACATTTAGATAAGTTTGTTACATCGACAAACGTGCGGGTGGAAGGGAACTGAGTGGAAAGTGAATTTTTGTTGGATGTCGTACAGACAGGCATGAACATGGTAAGAGCCACTGACCCACACTCGCCCCACAACCGTGGTGCCTCTTCAGCTGCGATCCAGTATAGCCCATCGCTACTCTGTTCATATATATCACGTTCATTACTGTGAACAAGTGCTTAGCTGCCTAATTAGCTGTGACTTTCAGAGCAGGCACAATGAAGAAAACTTCAAAGCCTGCTTTCTAGCAAAACAAAACTGCCAGCTTTTCTTCCCGGTGGGACAGCTGTATCCCAGGCCACAGCAGTGCTGCTTGCTGCATCTTAGTGTTTGCACCAAGAGCAGTCGTTGGAAATAAAAGTGTAAAGAAAGAAAAAGCCGAACTTTTTCTGCAACATCCAGTAAAGGGGAAGCACTCTGCTAGCTCACGTCTTGTGATCGGACCAGTACTCCTTCACCACGAGATTATAATAAAGCTGATGTTGTAATGGCAGCTGTCTGGTGTTTACTGGTTCTCTCCTATCTATAGTAAAGCAAAGATGTACTTCAATAGTCTTTGTTGAGTAGGCACGGAGGGAGGGCTGCTGTTCCCTGAGCGCAGTGCGGGGGTGTTTGCACAGCAGCCTGTGCCCCCACCCCACCTGCCCCCGGGGTAACGAGGCAAAACGAATGCCCAGCACTGCCCAGTGCACCCATCAGCAGCTGGGTCATCACCCATCCCTGTCCTTCTGAAACAAGGCTGGGATTCTGCAGAGTGGTTCGAGCTGCAAAATAGCTTTATTGCCATTATCCCCACCGGGGAAGAAGGCAGAGCAGCGTTTCCTCCCCATGGCGTGTCCTGGCTGGAGAATTCAGAGAGGTCAGCCGGGGCCTTGGGCAGGTCAGAAGGGCTGGGGGGTGGCAGTGTCAGCGTGGCTCGTTTGGCCTGTCCCCAACTTCCCACTGCTGCTTCCGCTTCCCCAGCGGGCTGTCGGCAGGGAGAGGCTCTTGCCATCCTGCAGCGCTGGTCCAGAGCTCCCCACGCCATGCCGGGGTGCCTGCGCTGGCCGGGGCGGCTCCTGGCAGCGGTGGTGCTGGTGCTGCAGCTGGCTGGGAGTCTCGGTGAGTGTCGCACCCCTGCTCGTTTGCTTTGCTTCTGGGGCTCAGCTTTGCTCGCGGATCCAGTGTGCCATGATCGGGTTAGGAAAATTCAGCAGG